AGGGTTAGGTGAGTGCATAAATTAGGGTTAGGGTGTGCGCTCAGGTTAGGGTTAGGGTTTAGGCGATTATATAGTAAAATTGCTCAAATGAACACTTTTTTGATTGTCGGGATTTGTCGGTTGTCGGGATTTTTTTGTCAGGATTATGACCTGTCGGGATTTTGACCAGCACCCAGATCATTATATGCATGGTATTACCTCCAATCACCATCGTATTTGCACGACTAATTACCCATGCTGGTGTATTACTAATTGCTATATAGTGTACCTACAAGAATTTGTATTAAATGCTAATGATTAATTAGACGTATAATTAATTAAGCAAACTATCATACATAACATTAGATATCAAAGCCTACCTTGCCACTTCTAACTGCATCATCTAAAGAACGCATTACTTCTTCAATAGGAGTACGATATTCCCAAGTATGAACATACATAAGTTCAATATATCCAATGCCCACTCATTTAAGACTTTCATTGAGATTTTCAGCAAGAGATTTGCGGTTGCTTCCACCTTTAGGATAATTTTTTTCAGAACTCATCATACCGCATATCAATATCATAATAAAATTACTAGCATTTGGGTTAAATCTACATTTGGTATCAAAGAGGTGTTATTTACTTTATAAATTTATGAATATAAGGCAAATATATAACATGCAGTAAATAAGGAATTTTTACAGCGAATCGAATAAACAGATTAACTTACTAGTATATTTGGTGGCAAGCACAACATGAGAACGTTTATCAACGATATATTCTTTAAGAAATTGTTTGATCTTTTCGTTATTTGAAAAATTAATATATATCAAATATCTTGAGAATATAATATTAAAATCAGTGCCCGTCATTACCTCACCAAAATTATATATGTTAGCAGTATCTACAAATAGCAAACATTTACTATCATTATATAACGATTTCACTAAACCTAGGTGTTGTTCGGTCCCGCTATAATTGTATATCCAGTTTAAGGTTTTAAAATATAGTCTTTTTTACTGATCTTTATTCAATATGAAATTGTAGAATAATTATTGTTTTTTCTCAATAATTATAAGGCCATACAACTTAATAAATCGGTTTCATACCAAATTTTAGGAGTGACCCAGCAACCCGGCTTTTAATTTTATTTCAAAAAAAATCTTATACGTATGTATAAAAAATATATAAATTTTTTTATAGATTTTTTTTTTTTAAAAAAACTCACCCAGATAGAAATATACTTCAAATTTTTTTTATAAATTTTGACCCGGACAGGTTACGAAAACTGATTTATAAAGTTTATATGACCAAATTTAATAAATTTCATTGGCTCTTGATTACTTTGAATTAGTTTTTGAGCACTTTAGATGGTTGTGAATAAAATTAGATCAGTCTCATTTCAAACTTATGCAAACCTGATAAAATTATTAAATATATATAACTTTTTTTACCGTTTTTTTATTAGCAAAAACTGATTAAAAAGGATAAAAAAATCAAACTTGCAACTTGATCGACAATTGCCGCGAGTCCGATTATCTATTGCTATATAGAACATATATGCTTTAAACATACCGATGAAATTTCCACCTTTTTCATAATAATAGTCGAAAACGTTCTTAGACTCCTCATAATTTCATAATTCGAACCTACAGTATTCCCTATTGAATGTGTATTAAACAAAATGAAATGTTTGCAAGCGCACATGACTTGCATATAAATGGAACAAATGCGTCAAGGAAAGCCTTACAAATTTTTCGCCAATAGTCTTAAATTGTAACCGTTAAAAATATGTTGAGTTAAATGATGAAGATACTAGAAATTGATCATTTT